TCTAAAGCACTGCAGTAGCAGGTAAGACTAGAGAATACTACAACCTCCACTGCCCATTCTAGCCACTGACACCCCAGTAATTGTGACATTCTGGCACAGTCCCAACATGAAACACTTTTCTCATATCATTAACCTAGTTACCCCAGTTTCTGTGTTTGTTCCTGCAGATGCCTTAAGAAAAGGGAAAGAATCATAAATCCAATTACTTCTGCCATAACTCAGTGAGTTTTATGTGGGCACATACTTGTGGGGTGTGTGTATATACATGTATGCACACATTCACACAGAATTGTAAGTTTTCTGATTTCAAAAATGTAAGAGTTTCTACCAAATAGCAAATAAAGACTGGTCTAGATTAGATTTAGCATTAGGACTGTTACGCAAATATTCTCAAACTAAGCTAATTTTCTAGTTCTCACATTGCATTTCCTTTGGAAATGCAAATTATTTTTTTTTGGAAATGCAAATTTTGACTATAAAACTTTTATTTAGTCTAATATAAAATTCAAAGGAAACTTCAGGTCACAATAGTATTTGATGAGAAGTCCTGGGGCAAAGATCTTTTAACATAGTTACTGTGAGCATTCAAAGCACTGCTTTGGTTATTACGCTTCCCAGTAAGAAAAGGAAGAAGGCCAGAGAATATTTACATTTACATTGTGGTGAGCTCGGAGTATAATGAATGAAGAACACTGTATAGATACCAGGGCAAAGGCATTAAGTCCATGCATGCTGTGTTCCTTGATATTATAAATTCTGGTTCTTTTCCCTAATGTTTAATTATAAAATTGCCTTTGCTTAATTCCTTTGTAGATTCTCTATATATTAGAGAAATTGGCCGTTTATATTTAATAGGTACAGAAAAGCTGAATAGAAGCTCTGTGTGCATGGGTTAGGCTTGAGAGTGGATGGGCTTCAGTATACAAGGTGATTGGGCACCAAACTAGCATTTTTCTTGGGGTACCATCAAATGTTAGGATCTAGAAATTTTTCCTCTAGGGCTTTTTAGTTACTGGAATACACAAATATTTTAGCCCTGCATGGGTAGCATATGTCAGGCTGCTGGCACTTTGGGAACAGGGTAGAGGAGAAGGCTCAGTTCTCCTGTGGAATGTGCAGACATTCAGTCAATCTCCCTGTTTTCAGTCCTGCACTCATAGTCTCAAGTTTATGCTCATCAGATTCACCGGTGCCACAGACTTGGGCTGCTGGAATGGGCGTGTGTGCTTTCCTGTGATTGCTCAGAGGAGGGGAGACCTGGGCGTGGAGTTGGGACTCTTGTGGCCCTGGAGACAGATTTTCAGATAGTGTAACAGTTTTTAGTGCTACCTACACTTTCTGTGGGAACTGGTGCCTTCCAATTCAGAGCTGCCCCACAGGGTGTGTCAGCTGCTTCTAAGCATATTTTCCTGGAAGTAGTGAGGGTAGAGAGTTTTCTGTTCTGTTCAGTCAGCTACTCCATCTGCTTTTTGTCTTATGACACTTAAAAAAAAAATTCCTTATCTGTTGATGTGTTTTTCATTCATACCTTTTGTCTTTTGAGATTGTACATTTTGTTTAAAAAAATCCCTTTACTGTCATTTCAGTGTGATTTTGAGGTGTAGGGTCTATGGTCAGTCTGCCCGTTTAACCAGAAGTCCAAACCATTTGTTCATTGCTGTCTCTTTAGTGCCTGGCACATACTAGGTACTTAAGTAAATATTTGATGAGTGAATAATGGAATGAATTATAAGTTAGAAGTTTTTATGGTAAAAGGGGGCTTTGATGGCAGAGAAATATTATGACTATATATGATTATATAAGAACCTAAAAAGCATCTTTTAAATTGTGGTTTTGTTTTTGTTCCTCAACATGGTTGAGGAAACCAGGTGTTTCAGAGTGTGGCCATCAACAAAATGAAAAGGCAGCCTGCTGAATGGGAGAAAATATTTAAAAATCATGTATCTGATAAGGAGTTAATATCCAAATTTGTAAAGAACTCCTACAATTTCAATAGCAACAAAACAAACTATCCTAACAAAAAGTGGGCAGAAGATCTGAATAGACACTTTCCCAAAGAAGACATACAGATGGCCAACAGGTAAATGAAAAGATGCTCAATATCACTTATCATCAGGGGAATGCAAATCAAAACTGGTGAGGTACCACCTCACACCTGTTAAATGGCTATTATCAAAAAGACAAGAAATAAGTATTAGTAAGGATGTGGAGAAAAAGGAACTGTCATACGTTGTTGGTGGAAATCCAAATTGGTGCAGCCGCTGTAGAAACAGTATGGAAATTCCTCAAAAAATTAAAAATAGAATGCCATACATTCAGCAATTCCACTCTTGGGTATTTATCTGAAGAAAACAAAGACACTAACTCAGAAAGATACATGCACCCCCATGTTCATTGCAGCATTATTTACAATAGCCAAGATATGGAAACAACTTAAGTGTCCATTGATGCACGAATGGATAAAGAAATTGTGGTGTATATATACACAATGGAATATTCATAAAAAGAATGCAATCTTGCCATTCACAACAACATGGATGGACCTTGAGGGCATTATACCAAGTGAAATAAGTGAGACAAAGACAAATACTGTATGATCTGTCTTATATGTGGACTCTAAAACAACAAGCAAAAAATAAGAAAAAGCCCAAGCTCATAGATACAAGAGAACAAGAGATTGGTGGTTGCCAGAGGCAGGGGCTGGAAATGGATGAAATGAGTGAAGGGGGTCCAAAAGTACAAACTTCCAGTTATAAACTAAATAAGTCATGGGGATAAAATGTATAGCATGGTGACTGTAGTTAATAATACTGTATTACATATATGAAAGTTGTTAAGAGAGTAGATCTTAAAAAGTCTCATCACAAGAAAAATATTTTTTGTAACTGTGTGGTGATGGATGTGAACTAGACTTATTGTGGTGATCATTTCTCAATATATATAAATATCGAATATGTTGTACAAATGAAACTAAATAAAGTTACAATGTCAATTATATCTCAGTGAGAAAAAATAAATTATAAAGCATGTGCTACTTCAGGATGGAGATATGTTTGTTTTACTTGGTCAAGCACAATTAGAACTATTAGGTTAGGCTTAAGATACACATTTGCCTATTTATAATTTTTCTTTAGAGATAGACTTGTATTGAAACTGATTTATGTAGCAAGCAAAGTCTTTATTCTTATTTGTATGTATATTTAGATAATTTTATTTATTTATTTATTTTTTATATTTAGGTAATTTTAAAGAGACTTATGGTGATTATGTTGTAAAGCTTTCCAGCTACCACTGCCCCCTTCCCATTGGACCTCTGTGGTTAATAAAGTTTGAGAATTACTGGATTAGTGTGGTCTCTTGTTCAAGTATATTTTGCATTTCAAAGTGAACATGTGAAGATGGATGAAATCTAATAGGGATAAAGAACTTAAGCTATAAAAATGAGAGTAAATAGCAAAATTAATATTTTGATCAAACAGATTAGTATTCTCCTTACTCATAAAGGCAGCTGTGGACAACGAAGAGGGGACTGTAGAGAGATAGAAATATAATAGACAGCCTGTGATTTGGCTAGAGTGCTGGATCTTGGGTCTTGCAAATGGGATGCCTCCACACTTCATACCCCAGGAAATGAATAAGTGAACTCTTTTGCATTTTCCCCTAAAATTGATGACTTAATTCTAAATTCAAATAATGAGCAAATTGCAGTGTTGTTTTAAACTTCCGTGCATTTATTTTTCCCCCAATCTTTGAGCTTTATTAAAGGCATCTGCTCATAAATCCAAAGAGAGGTCTTTCTAATTAAAGAGGTTGCCTCCCCAGTAAAGAAGGAAGAGCCCATGCCACAAAAGTGGATTAGTAAGGTGGTAGATTAAGAAAAGTCCCTTATGGAAAATTCTAGGGTTGCAGAAATTGATAAGAAGTTGAGGGTTAAGGATAAGAGAAAGGTGATAAACTGGAGCAAAGATAACCAGATATCTTTGGGGCACCTGGCTGGCTGAGTTGGTAGAGCATGCATGATCTCAAGAGTTGTGAGCCCCACGTAGGGTGTAGAGATTACTTAAAAATAAAGTCTTAAAAAAAAAAGATAACCAAATATTTTTGAAAGTTTTCTATAATAGATTCTCCACACCTGAATGTTTTTCTGGTTATCTTCTTTAGAATCCCCATCTTTGTTGTTTGTTTGACATCTTTTATCAAGTTGCTAACATACAATCAAGTCGGTTTTAGGGAGAAGAAATTGAGAAGATAAAATATATAAATCAGAAATTAAAGGATGGAAGTGGGTGGGCATGGGAAAGAAGACAGAATATGAGAAGCAAAGAGAGCTTTAGAAAAAGAAAACTCTTGAAAATATGACCAAGTCTTTTTACATGTAATTTTTTTCTCTTCTTGAATAACTTCTCCAGTATGGTTGGTGTTGGGATTTCTGAGAAGAAACATGAAAAAATAGAAAGCCAGGAACTTGTTTCAGACCTTTATAGAAAATAACCTAGTACCTCCTTATATGGATGTTAGAGAACAAAGGTGTGTGATTATAGTGCAATCAGTAGGAAACTGAGTTCAGTGTTCTTTGCCAAATAGTTTTGTGTTAATGTAAAAATGGAATATGAACCTGTACCAAAGAGTTATTAAGAAAAATACTAGTACTTTCAGGAGAATCAGATACTAAAATCTGTATTAATAGTGACTGTGGAAAGGCCATGCTGCTATTGGAAATTTCAAAGAAAAATTAACAGGAAGGTTATAACTTTTGCCTTTGAGGCAGTGATACATTTTTGATTCTCTTCATTTTCACTTTATATATAAATGTCATGAAAATTCCATCATGGTTGACAAATACAAAACAGAACAACCATATTTTAGCACTGACGAGGCCAGAGACTTAAGTATTTTTCAAGGTTTAAAAAACTTGTCTTTCTCGATGAAAGGTAAGAAGTCAAATGTTATTTACAAAGCCCATTTCTCATTGGCTTTTTGTGTTTTGGGCTTGTTTTCAGGCAAAAGGACTGCTATGGAAGATGGAGCTCTTTGTCCGTTTTCCAGAATGTGTTTCCATCAATGAAACATGATACTGCTGTTCTGTGTTGACATGCTTGAAGACCACCCACATCTCTGCTCACGCCTTCCATCCTGCTGAAACCATGGTCTTCTCTGCAGTGTTGACTGCATCCCAAACTGGGGCAACCAACACAACATTTGTAGTCTATGAAAACACCTACGTGAACATTACGGTCCCTCCACCATTCCAGCATCCCGGCCTTGGCCCGCTGCTCAGATACAGCATGGACGCGATGGCTCCCACTGGGATGAGTTCCTTGACCGTGAATGGCACAGCTGTACCCCCAACACCAGCAGTTTTTAAGAGCCTAAACTTGCCTCTCCAGATCATCCTCTCTGCTATAATGATATTTATTCTGTCTGTGTCTTTCCTTGGGAACTTGGTTGTTTGCCTGATGGTTTACCAAAAAGCTGCCATGCGCTCTGCAATTAACATCCTCCTTGCCAGCCTGGCATTCGCAGACATGTTGCTTGCAGTGCTGAACATGCCCTTTGCCTTGGTAACTATTGTTACTACAAGGTGGATTTTTGGGAAATTCTTCTGTAGGGTATCTGCTATGTTTTTCTGGTTGTTTGTGATAGAGGGAGTAGCCATCCTGCTCATCATTAGCATCGATAGGTTCCTTATTATAGTCCAGAGGCAGGATAAGCTAAATCCATATAGGGCTAAGATTCTAATTGCGGTTTCTTGGGTGGCTTCCTTTTGTATAGCTTTTCCTTTGGCCGTAGGAAACCCTGACCTGCAGATCCCTTCCCGAGCCCCGCAGTGTGTGTTTGGATATACAACCAACCCTGGTTACCAAGCTTATGTGATTTTGATTTCTCTAGTTTCTTTCTTCCTACCCTTCCTGGTGATACTGTATTCGTTTATGGGCATCCTCAACACCCTTCGGCACAATGCCTTGAGGATCCACAGCTACCCCGAGGGTATATGCCTCAGCCAGGCCAGCAAACTGGGTCTCATGAGTCTACAGAGACCCTTCCAGATGAGCATTGACATGGGCTTTAAAACGCGTGCCTTCACCACCATTTTGATTCTCTTTGCTGTCTTCATCGTCTGCTGGGCCCCATTCACCACTTACAGCCTTGTGGCCACATTCAGTAAGCACTTTTACTATAAGCACAACTTTTTTGAGATTAGTACCTGGCTACTCTGGCTCTGCTACCTCAAGTCTGCATTGAACCCACTGATTTACTACTGGAGGATTAAGAAATTCCATGACGCCTGCCTGGATATGATGCCCAAGTCCTTCAAGTTTTTGCCACGTCTTCCTGGTCACACGCGGCGGCGGATACGTCCCAGTGCTGTCTATGTGTGTGGGGAACACCGGACAGTGGTGTGAATATTGGCACTGCCTGACATTTGGGGTGATGGTTGCTCTTTATCTGACTTTGAATTTTCTTTCACATGGGTTCTCCAAGTGTACCTTATTGGTTTTTATAGGGTGTGTGTGTGTGTGTGCGCGCGCTCAGTGTAAAGAAAGAGTGGTGATTAGTTATAATTCTATTACCAAGGATACGCAATAGGGAAATGATGACAAATGTTACCTCCAGGGTTCAAGAGAAATCCTTGATTTAGGGTGGGGAGATGGTGTTTTGTTTCTTTGATTGATTTTGTTTTTGAAGCAGGAATCAAGATTGTGCTTTATTGAGCCTGCAGTTACATTGAATTGTAGGTGTTTTGGATGCTGCTAAGGTATGCTTAATTGAGTTTATCATTTTTTTTTTTCCAGAAGACATTGCTGCTTTTTGTCACCACATTGGAGCCAAAACCACATACATCTCAGTAGATAAATATTTACTTTTATTGAAAAAAATAACCCAAGGCGGTTAGTGACATTTTAAAGGTCATTAATACTTACTTTGGTGCACTTTAAGAAATAATGTACAAACTAATTCAGTCATGTTTTTCAGAATTGTTTTTTATACATGACATGTGCTTTAGGGAACATTGCATTATCATTTCTAGGAAGATAGTTTTTAAAAAATGTTTTATCTGCATGTCGAGTTTTAAAGGAGAGAACATAAAAATGTAGACATTTTTCTAAGCACAATAGCAATTCTTCAGAGCAGAGTTGAGGAGACAGGGCATCCTTGCAAATTTAAATGGGAGGCAGTGAGGAGGTAGCTGGCATGGGCTGTGGTATTTCCTTTGACTCAAGGATTCTCACTGAGTCCAGTGGGGAGAAGGACCTACCATTTATTGGACACCTGCCATCTTCCAGGCACTGTGCATTTTTATCCTCACAGCATCCTGTGAGGTAGGTATTCTTTTTTTCTTTTTTACGAAGAAAGTAAGTCTCAGAGATGAAAATCCTGCCCAAGGTTAATGGTAGAGCTGGAATCCAAGGAAGTCTGTCAGAATCCTGAGACTGCTGTTCTGTGCCACGTAGACATACCGTTCGGGTTTAAGTATTTCATAGTCAAGAAGGAACTCTGTATCTTTAATTTTTTTAGACTAAAACCTTCCTTTTAAAAGTAGTTTCACTTTTTTTATTACCAAAAAAATGTGAAAACATTACAGAAAGTGTGGAAAATAGAAAATCACAACCACCCTTTTACAGTGGAACTTAAAAATCTCAGACAAATAAGGCTATAAGGAAATAAGGTGATTTTTTTTTTTGGTCTACAAAATAAGTGACTGACAACTACGGAGAAGTTAAATACAGCTGTATGTGGGTCTTGGCCTTGCAGGGTCTGAGGTTTCCAGTTGTCCAGGCGTTTCTAAATGTTCTGGGCAAAATAGCACTGTTGCGTGAGGGCTTGCCCATAGCAGAGCTGGAGTTTGTGAATGTGCTCAAGAGTGTGTCTCCTACAAAGAAGCAAAGATAAATCCTGGTCCGAGCACAGAGCAAGTTTTAATAGGGCAGGTCTGGGGTTTCAAATTATTTTTCTCTTGCCGATAACCTGCCCCGCCCCCCCCACCAGGTACATCCAGATCCTTTGGTCTCCTTGCTCTGTGGCCACTGACACACTTTATAAAACAGCTGACGGGGATGGGGCTGCAGACTAAGGTCACTAGGGTTGAAAGTGTAGCCACTTGGCCACATCATGGGCTTTATAAATAGCTGAGTTAACATGAACACTTTTTGGATTTTTATAGCATCTTTGCAGCATTTTAGTGCTTTGTGAGCCAGTGGTAAAAATGAGCCTCTGTTTCTTCAGTTTTACAACCACGGAGTTGGATTAGATGAATCTTGCCCAACTCTAATGTGCTTTCCTCCATGTGAGAGTAGAGATTTGTGAAGAGCTTGGCTGACGTCAGCATCAATCTTTGGTCTCCAGTATTACTTCTTTGCAGTTTATTAGCTGTTTCTCAAAATGGAATGTCTCCTGAATGTTGGAAGAGCCCATAGCACTGTATCAGGAATTAGGACTTTGGAAGATTGATGACATCGTGAAGGACCTGGGGAACCCTGCTCTCAAGGCAGTTGTGATGGTTTTAGAACTCACTTTCCAGTTAAAAAACTCTTTTGGGACTCAAAGCACTTACTCAGCATGTTGTTTTGGGATCAGCCTTTGCTGATAGTCACCTACCTCTTTGGTTTCTAATTTATATTATTCACAGGTTAAAATTGTTTTTGTCCGCTAGGGATCTTACGGAACATAAACACTGTAGTAGATACCTAGGAGCACCTGGAAGTGTATCATGCTTTCCATTTTCAATATAAACTGGATTTCAAGCGGATAATAATATGTCTATTTGAAATTAGACTTTCTCTGAGGAAAGTCAGCATGATCTGTATTCATCTCCCATATTGGCAGGTCTTGAGACTCCTTTTGTGATAGGAGTTGAAACTGAGCTTTGTTTCCTTTGTCCTTTCTTATGAACAGTACTTGGGTACTTCTGTGCTGCCTGGTAGGCAGTGCACTGTTGGGCAAGAGCAAGAGCTCGGGGTGCCTGCTGAGATGCTCCGTGTTTGTGAGAGAAGACTGTGCGGGGCCTTAGTGGGAACTCAGCACCGCCACCCAACAGCAGATCTCTTTACACTGGAGACTCTTGATAGGGGGCAGTTTACAAATCATTTTGAATGTGTTTGTTATGTATACATTTTGGAAGCTTTAAAAAAAATGCACTCTGATGTACCTTTGAAAAATTTAGGTGCAGAATCCTATTTTGCCTGTTCCCCTGTATTTTCTTGAGGGGGAAAAGAAAAATACCACTACTAATTATTGCCACTGACAGACATAATCAGAAATGTTTTTGTTTTCATTTTCCTTCTGGCGAATAGGTAAGAGGCATGAGAGAGATCGTGAAATATCTGCGATCAAGAGAGATTCTAAAGAAATCCCCAGTAGTCTGGAGTAGTGATATTTAAATTTTAATAGGAATTTGTGTCTAAGTATTCCCAGGGGAGCTTGTTTTTTTTAATTATGTTATGTTAGTCACCATACAATACATCATTAGTTTCTGAGGTAGTGTTCCACAATTCATTGTTTTCGTATAACACCCGGTGCTCCATGCAGTACATGCCCTCCTTGATACCCATCACCAGGCTAACCCATCCCCCTACCCCCTCCCCTCTAAAACCCTGTTTGTTTCTCAGAGTGCTTGTTAACAATACAGAGGCCTGGGTTCCCCAGAGGGGCTGCGGTTGGGCCCGGGAATGCACACTATTTCGTTGAACACTCTGCATTCCCATGCAGGTCCCTGGGTCCCTGATCCTGAAGCAGGTGCTTCAAGAAGCACTCCTGTTGAAAATATACCCATTTTAAGATTGTTTTACACAAAAATGTTAGTGTGGGAAGCCATTCATTATCTCCTAGTGCATGGGTCATCCGCATTGAGAGGAGAATTGACACAAGGTTGTGCCTAATTTGCTGCCAGGTGTGTTAGTGCTGGGTCTCGCCAGTGTTAGCTGTATTTTCTCTCAGCTGGCAAAATTCTGATGGGCCATGTTGTTTCACGCTAGAGCAAAAGGAGTCATTTAATATTGGAAAGTCCTGACTTTCAAGAGTCTAGTTCCTCTGTTTTCTTTTCCTCTAGAGAGATGTCTTTATATAATCTCTAGAAGAGTTTGAGGGGAATGTACAATTCATCGAATTTCCCATTGCTCTGCTTATGCCAGTCATGTTCAAAGGAAGCATGAAGAAAATAAGATAATCTTACTCTTTGTATAATTTCAGTTGCTGACAAAGATATTTAATTTGTTCTTAATCTTTGCTTTTGTTTACATGAAAATATTTATGTATATATCACAGAAGAATTTCTACTTGCTTGACATTTTATTCTACTATGGTTTTTAAGTTTAAAGGACGGCTTAATTCAAAGTTATTTTCACAACATTAGTCCTGCTAAACTGCCTTCATTGAAGACTCAGTTTTCAAATAATAAAAATATTAAAGCACATGTTTGTTATTACAGGTAAATGGTAATACATTTCTTAGCTATATATTGGTACTAGTCCTTTGTAATTAAAATTAATTTATTTTACAATAGTACCTGACCTATAAGAAAAAAAACCCACTTTGAATTTTGGGTTGTAATTCAAGAATAAGAAAGTATGGTTATTTGTGCATATTATTATAACCAGGAAAAGAGCTCCCAATAAGAAAATGAATAAATATTTAACATTTCTAAAAGTGGAGTTTTTTTTAAAAGGACTACTTCATCTTATCTTAGAAAGATTTGTCATGAGTAATACTTTCTGTTAAATTAAAATCTGAGTTGAGTTTTAAATCGTGCTTCCTTTGGGTTTTTATTTTCAAATTAGCTCTCAAACCTGTGTGTATATAATTATATTTTAGTTTTAGAAGTTCTCAGAGAAGTTAAAGATGAGATGAAACCTGGCAAAAGACCACTAGTATTAAGAAACGGTTTTAAGGAATTCTCTCTAGGAGAATTATGGAAATTTTACTGCTGAATTATTTAAAATTGGATTATCACTTGGCAAAACCATGACAATGTCTGCTCCTATTTTGACAAAATGTTTTCAGATCGCACTTCCATTTGTAAAACCTAAGTCCTTTCTAAAATCCACTTTTAAATCTATAGGAAATATCAGTTATTTGTAAATGAGTTTCACCTTCCTGCCATTTAGATATGAGAGTTTTCTCTTCTTTCTCACTCCTATGCAATAGTTAAACATATTTCTTTTTAAGTTACAAAAGAAGATTGCCATTGAATCTACGTTTGATAGTTTTTTTTTCCTGAAATGGAAAGAAAGATAAGCAAAGTAGAGGAACATGTTGAATTAAAAACATTTTCATACCTACCATGAAAATAGACCATTTCTCATCTACCATGAACCGTACTTCACTCATACATAATAAAGAGAACCTTTAGGAGCAATTGAGATATCAATAAGGTGCAGTCAATTAGATTTAGTTCAAAAAAAAATAAAAATTTTATGGCTATATCAGTTAGCATTTAACAAAAGAAGCAAAACAGAAGATATTAAGACATTTATTGCAAGAACTGGCTTACATGATTGTGGGACTGGCTAGACAAATCTGAAATCCCAAAGGCAGGCTGTCAGGTAGGGCAAGCTGGAATTCACAGGTACTAGCTGACGCTGCTGCCCAAGGTGGAATTTTCTGCTCCTGGGAGAAACCAGTTCTGCTTGGAAGGCCTTTCAACTGATTGAATCAGGCCTACCCAGATTATCTAGGATAGTCTCTCTTAGTTAAGGTGGATTGATGATGGACTTTAATCACATCTAGAAAATACCTTCACAGCAACACTTAGATTAGTGTTTGATGGATGAACTGGGGACTGTAGCCTATCCGAATTGACACAGCAAAAGACGATTACAATGGTGAAATTCAAATTTAAAATATAATAAAACCCTCCTATGATGCTGTACTGC